GTGTTAAGCAAGATCCAGAGGAAGCACTAAAATGGTGGAAGATATGCTCAAACTCTGACACAGAGTCAGGAGTAAGGGCAATGAACACTCTGGCATTATTCTACTCAACACCGGACTATGCTGATAAAGAAAAGGTCAGTAATGGTGGTATTTAACTATTATTATACTAATAGCAAAACAACAGGCTTTCTCGTGGCATGTTAAAGCAGCAGAGAATGGCCACAAAGACTCCATGGGGACACTCGGGCTATTGTACATGAGAGGAGAAGGATGTCTAGAAGATAGAGAACTATCGTTGAAATGGTTAAAGAAATCCTCCGACAACGGATCTATATACGGGTCCGGCTTACTTGCAAATTATTATTACTCGACTAAAATGTACAGCAAAGCCGTGGAAGTTGCACAAAGGTACAGCCTCCAAGATATCCTCATGATGATAATGATTATTTTAAAAGTGTTTGCGATGACGTAGCAGCAAGCAGAGCAACTAAGAGTCAAAGTGTTACCAGTTTAATATCGGAAGGACTAGCTACTGCTCATTTTATATATGCACAATGTCTATTTCTGGGACAAGGAGTCACAAAAGATGTTGATAAAGCAGCAATTGAATACACAAAGGTAACCTAAATATACTTATATACATGTAGCTTGCTTTATCAATTTCATTACAGGCCACTCAAACTAACAAGGTAGTAACTGCTCAGTTGCATTCTAAAATGATGTATGGAAGACTTTAATCATCATCATTATTATTATATCTAATGAATTAATATTGAAAAATCATAATACTTATTCTTGGCAATTGATACACACTATGCATATAGGTAGTGATAATTATTGAAACTGCAGTATCTCCAGATGAGCCTCATTTCAATGACAGGCTGAAGTACATGTACTGTATGCATGGGCTGTTAAAAATTTATAATTTCACTGTAAATGAATAAGATTTTTTTGCAATTTCACTAAATATGAGGGATAAGATACTTTTGAAATGATTTCTGCCTTTACTAATCGTGTTATAATTGTTTGATGATAAAATAAACATCCGCAAATAGTACTGCCAATCCAAAAACAAGACCAGTTGCAAAGCACTAGGAGG